ACTACTACTACTACACTACTACTTCTACTTCTACTACACTACTACTACTACTACTACTGCTACTACTACTACTACTACTGCTGCTACTGCTACTGCTACTGCTACTGCTACTGCTACTGCTACTGCTACAGCTACTACCGCTGCTCCCTACTGCTACTGCGACTACGTACTACTGCCAATAATAATAGTCATAGTAAAAGCAATGATAATAATGCTGCGGCTGGTAGTCCAACAGGTGCAACAATCATGATTCTTGCTGCTGGTGATTGTCATGCAAGCAGCCATATGTAAAGCAGCAAGATACTACGACCATTGATAGTCGGGATCGCATTACACTGTGTTCCTTGCCGACTTTGGAGCAAAGACCTGTGCTGTGCAGTCCCCGTTCGACTGAGCTGTCCACAGCCAGCACTTGTACAAGCTGATGCGCCTGCAAAAAATTGCAGGAAGCCAAGCTTGGCCGGATGTGCCGACAGACTTTTTTGAATGGCGTCCCGCAACAAGGCCGGCCACTCGCACATTGGCCTCTCCCACCCGAGAGACTCCTTCCCGAGTTCCGTACAGGCCGGTAAACTCCCGCACAAGCATCAGCAAAGGCATGTCGATCTGTGGGCTAGCTTGCCTGCTTTGTTTCATGCTGTGGCCCATGGCTTGTGGCACGAGACTGTGTCGGAGGCTGGCGGAGGGATGTCTTGTTGGAGGCAATAATGCGAAGGTCTCTTTCGTAAATGGGACCTATTATAGGAAAAATCTCCAACTACCACCCATCAAGAAATCAAGGAAGCTAGCGAGAGTGAGCAACGACACTTGACTGACATTGTCATTTGTTTTTGCTTCAAGAGGATCAGACTGTCCAATCGACACTGTTTCGGTACCCAGGAACACAACAAAACGAATCAAAGCACTCAAGAAATATGGTCGTGAAGACCTCAAGAAGGGCTCACAAGGTAGAGACATAGCTCTGCAAAGTGCTGCGAGGCTGCTGCGAGAATTGCTCTGAGTGTATAGGAGAATTTTGCCAGGACACCCCTCGAACCAAGGCTGGTTCTCCCGACACCTGCGCTGCGAGGACCGGGATCGCTGCAGCTGAGATTTCCCTGGTGCCCGGCTTCAGCACCAGTGCATCAAGGCCGAAGACGAGGATCGCAATGCGGGACAGGACGAGCCACACCCTCAGCTTCATTCCTAGACTCGGACCGACTAGGACCTGCAGGACCTAGAGCTGGAAGTACTTACGTGTGACTTCCCCGAAGTGTTCCTGGAGTCTCCGCACATTTCTTTTTCTACATTCACGACACCCCCAGGTATCTCTCCGCATCGTGGAAAGGCATCGAAGCATGTTCGGGCCCAGGCCACTCTGCCGTCTTCGTCCACAGAGCTTCCCTGGCATGGAACTTGAAGCCATAGGAGCCAAGCACCGTTCTGCCGCTCTGCCCCTGCCCAAGTGGCAAAGAAGGTCAGGGATGCCCTTCAAGAGCTGCCCTCAGAACATTGAGAGGAGGCAGTCCTCAAGTCGAATCTTCTCTTCAAAGCCAAGGCGCCTTCTCTGAGTTGCATCGGACATGATGACGGCCGGGGTGACGAAGTGCAGGGCTCGCATGGCCTTCGTGGAGTTTCACTGGCAGTCACCCGTAAGAATGACAGAGCTAGTGCTCGCACTTGAGGCCAAGCCGCACTCTGAGGCTCTCGCACTGAAAGAGCACAGCTCCGGCAATGTCTCCCACACCCTGGCACCCGCTGGGAAATTCTGGGAGAAGTCAGGGGGCGAGCCGTGGCACAGCTTCCCAAGTGCGGGGCGCTTCTTGTACTGCCAGCCACTTCCTTCCACTTCGGCTGCTGGCCTTGGAGTACAGGGGTCTGTGGGTCCGGGCATGAAGAAACGCCCCAAGATCACCCAAGGCTTGCTGCAACCTGGCAGAGGGTCCAGCAACGCAGACCGCGTAGTAAAGCAGCCCTGGAATGGGAGACTCAGAGAATGACACCGTGTGACTCTCCCAGCTCTGTGGCAAGGCTTGCTAAGCTGGGTGGTGGGCATAAAAACCTGCACCAAAGAGCCTCGGCTGTGGCCCTTCTGCACAAAAGGGTCTCTCTTAGGTCTGAGGCCCATGCAAGAAGGGCAGAGAGCTCAAGGCAGCAGATCAGCGCTTGCCCAGTGACCTCAGCTGTGCAAATCTAGGTTTTTCTGCAGGCGCGGTTCGCCAACTTTGCACTTCACTGAGGAGGATTGTCAGCTGGGGCCGATCCAAGACAGAGGTTAAGCACTCTCAGCTGGCGACGCCCATGTCCATCTTGCCGGTCCACTTGTGATCTGAGGGCAAGCAGAGCTGGAATGGTGGTTGTTGCTCTGAGTGGTGTCCAGCCATAATACATATCTTAGACGATGGTGATGAAGGCTCGGGTCCCCGCAGCAAGCATTGATGATGTTGACAGCCTCTTGGCTCAGGAGGAAATGTTGGCTTTCACGCCTCCGATATCCGAGTCGGCAATAGCAGCGTAGCTGGCCAAAAAGCCCGAAGATCTTAGGCCCAAGACGACTGGAAAATCTGGACCAGGTCTTCGTCGACAAGGGAATAGGTGTTCGAGAACTGAGATGAACACGGCTGACATGGGCCCTGCATGGCTCCGACACAGCCCGCTGAGACTGGGACGAGGTAAAACAGCACCGTCATGGCGGAGACCTCAGGATCCCGCCCGAGCGCCTGAACCACACAGTACCAGTAGCAGCAATACGGGTAATCATGAACATAATCATGCTTATACGAGTATTCCTACTGACTTTCATGACAAGAGTAGTTAAGAATGCCCGGCGGGTCTTGAAAGTAAGAGAGATGTACAACCCCCCCTCCGCTCCCCCCTCCCCCCAAATTTCCCCCCAGTCACAGCTCAAATATCACGGCACCGGAAATGCCATGTAGAACCTCCTCGTGTAAGCCCAAAATGTACTATCCAATGGGCCCTCGAGCATAAAGAAAATACATACATACATACATACA